TTATAATTTCGTTGGTAACGTGTTGTGAGACTGAAGCAGTTACCTACGAGCAGTTTTTTCGAAGTTTACTGGGGCAAAACTGCACGCTAACCGGTAGTTTGCTAAATGTGAAGTGCAAAGACGGATACATATCTTTGTATAACAAATGTTTGAAGTTAGGTTAGTACAAATTCTGCTTCTACCTATCTATATACTTATATGCGGCTGCACACAATCAATTAATGAATTTATTAAAAATATTGCAAGTTTATTACACAGTCTAACTTTTTACTGTAGTTACATTTAATAGTTTTGAATAGCTAATAATTTCTAGCTATTTTAAGACATGAATGAGATTGAGAATGATAAGAAAACAAAAGTAAATATTAGCCATCAACATTTGGTGGCAAAATGGCGTTGGTGAGTTTAATCAAAATATTGCCAGAATTCGCCAAAAAATTAAAGCCTGTTTTTGTTCTAGACGTTCAAGAATTTGTTGTCATCAATAGATTGGCGACAATTTTGCGTATTACTGCGTATTGCGTATAACAATTAATTCATGGCCAAAAAATTAATCACTGATATTTTTAAGATTAGAGTAGCTTTACATGTTCAATGAAACGAATAAAAGCACTGCGCAAATAAAAAGTGTAGGGACCTAATGTTGATAGGTATTTTATTGTTTAGTAAAGGTTGATTTTTCTTAAAATCATTTCAATTAAAATTGCAGATTTACATACTATGACGTTATACAGATATTGTATAATAGAACAAGTTGGCGTCATTAAAAAATAATTAACTGTTTTTCCCAACATCAGTTCTATAGGTAGGAATTCTAAGAAAAATTAGGTTATATGATTTCACAACAAAAAAGAAATATGGCACTTTAAACATTAACCATAGTGCTACCTGCGAAGATGAAATGCAAAAAACTTAAGTATTAACTTAACTTTTATCTACAACGTTTTTTTAGCATATTTGTTTCGAAGGCTTGACCATTTTTAAGTAAATATACGCCCAGTATATGGTATCAATTTCTGGGGCAATTCCATACTAGCGTTTAATGTTTTTATTTCTCAAAAGACAATTTTGCGTTATACCTATTGCTGGTATACAAATCAGACTTGTAAACAAATTTATTTCCATAGAAATAGGATTTTAACATTACCCTGTATATTTTAGGAATAAGTGCATTCTTAAAATTAAAGTAAGTGTGTTTTAAATAATTAGGTATTCTTATAATGTAAATTGAATACAAAGTAATAGTTTTTAGCCTTCCATTAATTAAAAAATATATATTTTATTGCCTCTAAAAGTGTCTGAAACATACTTGTACATACACAATGTTTCCTGGATATTTAATCTTTTGCGGTAAATATAACAGCAGGCCAGACTTCCTTTTTCCACGACTTTTAAGATTTTAAACCTGTCAGCATATTTTGAGACGGAACTGCAAATAGTATGCCACAATTCTACGTAACAATATGAAGGTTTTGTTAATTTTGTCCGTGTGTTTTGTGTGCGTCGTATTAGTCGCTGGATATAGTAACTATAGATTCCAAAATTCGCTTGCTGTACCGTGCAAGTATGGCTATCAATTTTCTACAGGCAGATGCGTACCTAGAAAAACCGGTAGTTTAACAATTACTCCTTGCAAAGGCGGCCACATTTTTATTAGAGGAAAGTGCAGGCCAAGAATTAAAAAAAATATTGATGTTCCCATGCACATACCAGTACCACTGTATAAGTAAATTTGGGGAAAATTGAACCAATGTTGGTAAGTAAGTGTAGCGAAAATTAATTTGGTATGTGGTGTGATGTAGTACAAAATAATCAGTTTTGTAAACAAATTTTCATATAATTGAGATTCTTAAAATAAAAGTAGCTTATGTTTCTAATAATTACTATTACAATGAAATTTAAGACAAAATAATGAGTCGTACGAGATTAAAAATAATTGGCATATCTAAATTCATTCCTAAAATATTTCATAATTTACAAAAAATTATAATGTCGAGTTGTTTATTACAATGTATAGTGATATGATGATCAATCAAAATTCATAATTGTACATGTACCCATTTTAGTTATTCAAGAAACTTTTTTTCAATTTTATTTATGTATGTAATGAAATGCTTACATCTGTTTTTCTCGAAAATGGAGCATTTCATCGAAAGAAACAAAGGCTACCTTTTTTGTAGAGGAAATGAGGGTCTATCATATGTTCGCATCTGAATTACAAAATTTCGACAAACAAAAAAATTGGGGCAAATTATAGCCGACCTCCCCCAATTGAGACGCCCCTGACTAAAATTTTTGAAAAATTTTATGATGATCTATTTCAACCCATTTCGGAAATATTTAAAAAAAAATAATTTTTTGAGGCCCCATTTAGGGGGGCGTAGCTCTCTTAGGAAGCATTTCTCGACTCATGTTTATATGAAAAAATATTCTTATTTTTGGCAATAGAATCAAGTGGTAAATTATTGAACACTAATTATGAGACACCCTGTATATCACTGTTCCTGAAAATGTCTGAAACATATTCGTACATATAAAATGTTTCTTTAATATTTAATCTTTTGCGGTCAAGATAACAGCCCGCCATACTTCCTTTTTCCACGACTTTTTAGATTTTAAACGCGTCAGCATATTTTGAGACGGAACTGCAAATAGTATGTCACAATTCTACGTAACAATATGAGGGTTTTGTTAATTTTGTCCGTATGTTTTCTATGCGTAACATTAATCACTGGATATAACGGTAACCATAGATTTCAAAAATCACTAGCTGTACCGTGCAAGTACGGTTATCTATCTTTTAGAGGAAGATGTATACCCAGAAAAACCGGCAGTTTAACGAAGCATATTCGTTGCAACGAGCCAGGCCACATTTATATTAGGGGAAAGTGCAGGCCAAAAATTAAAAGGAATAATCCCATGTACATTCCAATGTACAAGTAAACTTGTTTGGAGAAAATTGAACCAAGGTTGGTAAGTGTGACGAAAATGTATTCCGTGCTCCACTAAATCTTTAGCAAAAGTTATTTAAAAATTGATTTAGGATTAAAAGGAAAACCGAAAAAAATATTATTAGTATGGTGATATTCATACTATATTGTTGATAAATAGTGTCTTTGTACAACATTGGAATAGATATTTTGTTTAAGGGGGGCGCTTTATGCATAATTTTCAGTGAATTTATAGCAGTTTTTTGAGGTTTATAAAAAACATTTTCAAGTTGATTATATTTCAAGGAAAGTGAAGACACACACATTTACGTGATTATTTTTTTCAACATTCCGACGTTGTCGTTTCCGTTGCTGATATCGTAAACCACATTTAAGTCAGTTGTCGAATCGAAAAGATTTAGATTTTGCTTGCAATATGTGGTCTCTACTGGTGGGCGCATTTTTGCTGTTTGTTTTCCAATTACCCGATAGCGAGGCATATTTTCGAACGTATCAGCAATATTTTCAAAGCATCGCGGACGAATCTACCACCAAAGATGGTAGTGTAATTCGAGTTGCGTGTAATGGGGGAGTTGTCATCAATGGACGATGTCGGGAAATATTTTAATAAATTGTGAGTTGTGCTAAAATCAATTTTACTTTTACCATCCTTCATTTTTTGACTCTGCAATCTGTTCAATTCTATAACTAATTAATAAAATACCCAAATATAAAAACTGTATTGTATAAAAATTATACCATTATTATTAATAATTTTTTATTTTCAGTTCAGACTCCGAAGAGTTGATGCAGAATTCCATCTTCCGCTTCATATACCTATTATTACTTATTAAATGTATTGGTAATTACATTAAGTACTATAGATAAAACAAAATTCCTCGTAAAGTTAGCAGAAACATTCATTATATAGGTACTTAAATTAGACTTGTAGGTGACTATTTGTTTTACATTTGTACCGTTAAAATGGATTAAATGTCTCATTTAATTTTATAATTATATAACAATAAATGTTTTAACCAATTTTTGTCAATTTCATTATTTACAATTAGTAATCATTATTTTAATATATTATTATCTCAATAGGATGTGATATGGCACATTGCTAATGAATGCAAGCAGGAAAACATTACTTGGTTTTACTGGTTGCATAGAAATCGGAACTTATAGTTATAAAGACATATTTTGGACATACAGTTGAACAACGTATAATAAATACTAAATAAACAAAGAGATAAATAATATTACTCTTAATTAAGACAACATTTCGTTCTTAATTAATAAATTATCAGAATCATTATCAACATTTTTATGATTATGAAATTAACAGGAAATGATCTCATACACGTTGTGGCAACCACTTATCAGTGTATTTAGCTAAACCGTTTTAAAAAAAATATATTTTTAGTATCGCTTTCACATTTAAGTCCTATAATGTATCTTTTTCAATAGATTTATCTTGGAAATGTATACAATTTTATTAGTTTGTGACATGTTGACGAGTTGACGTTATGTATACTGGCGTTACAATTCTAATGCCCCAATTTGTAGTGGAACTGGAGAAAATATTGTACGGATCCTTCAATTTGTCGATAGATATTTTTTCATAATTTTCAGTGAAAATATTCTTTAGTCTACTTATAACAAATTAAGTAATAATGGTTGATTTCCAGATCAATAGATATATTTTGACAGCTAAAGCCAACTTAAAAACTTAACTAACAATAATAATTTTATTTTATATACATACAAATTGAAGCACAGTTAAGATGGAAAAAACTTTTTCATTAAATAGACAATACAAATACAATATAATCATGAAAAGTTCCAGGAAATAATTGACGCAATTTTTTCGGACTTGCACGATTATCTTAGCATGTAAAATTGTATTTTTAGCAAAAACATTCTATGAACGTAGTAAAGTATACTACAATATACGAAGGGAATGAAAAAAATGATTTGACTCCAGTCCACCATTTTCTCAAAACACAAAGCTTCTTAACTTGATGAAAAGGTACCTAATTTAATCATTTATTTTAAAGTGAAGAGCATTACTAGGTATAGTATATGAATGTAAACAGCGTATCTCCGATGACCACTGCTTAATACGCAACTGAAAATGAATGGAAGTAAAACGAAATTTCACTGCAATTGTTTACATAGTTTATATAAACAATCTTTGTATATCAGCCGATTCGCCTTCATGTGAGATTATTAAACGTTTGATCTTGCTGACCCCAAGATAAATCACATCCATCTCAATTGGTGTCCGACCGATTCATTTCTTTTGTTTCGTCGGTGCAGGGTGGTGGACGTCGTAGTAAACATGTTCAGGACGAGGTTATGTTTGGTAATTATGGTACTGCTGATGGGTTTTCTGTTGGCGATGCCTCTAGATGAGACCCCGCCACAGAGCGTCACTTCAACCACCGCGGTCAACAATAACAGTGTATGCCTATATGGATTCGAGTATGTCAATGGGAGTTGTAAGGAAATTTTTTGAAAAAGGTAAGAAGGTAGCTAGACTTTATTTTATAATAATTATATATTTAGCATTCGTCTGTAATAATTTATTAAGGAAAATAAATCAATTTCTACTATCCAAGTTAGGTTTTGAGTTAAAAATTCAAACTAAACGAAGTGCTACCACGTTTTCCTACAATTTTGAATATATTTTCCCCTAAAATTGATTAAAATATAGGTAACAAAATTGGTATTCCAAGTGGACTACGTTCTATAAATAACAAACCATTGATGCAATTAAGCATTAATTTTGTAAAAACTTACATACCTATGTCAATGTTTTCTTTAAGTAAAGGGTTTTTTTTGTTGCTTACCCACACGCTAGGCTTTCAACAGTGCGCAACCTTTTAAAGTTCATCAACGTTTATCAATTTTTTCGAGTTATCTTTGACCAGTAGATTTGTTGACATTTTAAGAAACTTTTATCGGCAATACAAAGCTATTTTTTCAAACGCTTTTTATATATACAGATTACAATAGGCTCGTCTATATTTTAGGAAATTTCCGCGGTCGATAACTTTGTAACCAGATTGGGGTCTAGCTATCATTATTATTATTTTAAAGTTTTTACGTCAATGTACATGTATGAATGATATTAAACATTGTTTAAATATCTTAACGGGATGTTTTTTTAACTAATTAAGAATAAAAATAAGAGCAGTTACGTTGCCGTTGGACGAGTTGAGTATTTTTTTCCAAATAATACATTTCTTACTAATTCATTAAACAAACAAAACACACATTTTACAAGCATATATATTCATAAATGACAGTTATTTCTCGTAATTGTTTAAAACATTGATATGAGAGATGATAACCTATAAAGTTGGTGAACTTTTTATTTGTAAAAACTGGCCATGTTGATTGTAATTCTGGCAATTGTTTTGCCGGATGCAGGGCTATCAGGATAAAACTACAGTTTATTTGATATCTACAACGATAATCACTAAAATTGTAGACTGAACATTGCTTAATCGATTGTGTGAAACCTAGTTCCAATATCACCCGTTAATATATTTTTTTAAATAAGACGTAGTTTAGCTGTACTGGATATTTCGTTAGATAATGATAATTGGATAAAAGCGTATCGTTATGTTATTGTTTATAGTAATTATATGTTTCAATTTTCCAGGAAGGAATAGAGGTCGCGATATAGAAGAAATAAACATATGCAAGATTTTGTGTATATACTACGTTCTGTATTATTTATTTATTTATTTCTGTTATATTACATTACTTTTTATCCAACTGGAGTTTGTCTTTGTATGTGTGGGCAATATCTGATTTACTTATACCTATGTCTATCTATAGCTTCTAATTCATTTTCATGTTAAAATGTATGTATATTTTTTGTAAATCTCACTTAACGTGCTGTACTTAGATTAAGTACGACATTTGATGTTTTATGTACCTATGTATCACAAATGATTAAAAAAAGGTGAAGTGTTCAATATAAGCATTTTTTTCGAAACCTCACATATTCCTTCCTACCGTTAATACGTACCTACAGGTAACTGAAACTGGACAAAACATTATTCGCTATAACACAATCATGTGAACCACTCCACATTTAAAAAAATGTTAATTAAAACGTAACAATTACATATGTTTATAATGTTTTCGAGGTATTCCACCTATTCTGCTTCAAATGTTCGATTCACATTCTTAAATTATTTTAGTTGTGTAAGAATTCATTGTTCTCAAGTGGCAAATTGGTGGAAGAATTCAAAACTATTAGACAAGCAGTTACTAATTCATCGGTTGACTAGTAGCAGTCGGTTGGGTTGTATTTTTCCATGCAACCGTCTACATGCCAGACAGAATATATTGGTAATAAATTTTAATTGATTTCACGTGTCTCAGCCTGTTAAATTATTATACCAAACAGCTCCTTCGATCTAGCTGATTAAGTTTTAAACAGAAGTCAATTACGTACCTAGCAAAGTAGCCTTAAGGTAAGTAATAAAAGATTTTTTATAAATTTGCATTTCTAGACAGTTAAATATCGTAGACACTTTTCCTTGGTTTATCATGCTTTCTTATTTTAAGTTTACAATTTTTTCACATTATTATAATTCATCATTTGATTTAATATATGTATATTTAATGTTAACCAAAATATGTATAATAATATTCAATTATTATCGATTAGTAACTGTGATTTCGATAACATTTAACTACGTACTAGAAAAATAAAATGTTTATAACAAATAACTCGTGAAATTAATTGAAATATGTACTTAGGTAGGTACTAAAGGCTTTTATTCAATAAATACTTCCAATTTTTACGTTGTTTTACATAGTTAAGATTTGCTTATTTGCAAATAAATTTGCAAACAATGTGAAAACATTGTTTATCAGGAAATCTTCGGTTTCTATGATGTGAAGTATATACAGGTACATTTATGATTAATTTAATATCGCGTTTTATAACGCAATTCCTGTTTCCATAAGATAAGGCTCATTTTAAATAATTCATCATCGAAGAAAACTCCCACAATCGTTATTATTCCGAGTGACGCTTTGAAAATACCACGATGCTGCCTTCAAGATGTTTTATATTTATCGCGGTTCTAATAGTTCTGCTGGTATTATAATTATGGTGGATATTTCTGCTCTGTTCGTCCCACACAAATGTCGTAGCGATTCTATTTTCCTAAGAGGAAAGTGTAAGTCCGTTGTATACTAATTTTCCCGATATTTTAACTTGTAATAACTACACAGTCGTAAGGTTTAATAAGAATATTATAGATGACAAGCATACAAACTACAAGTATACAAGTTCTATAAACATATTTCATACTTGATTGTAAACTGAATAAAAAATTAAGGCAAATCTAAAATACTAACGATCGTTGCAAAGAAGAAATATATTAACATAACAGAAAAGATGTCAAAGAAGGTGATTTCTATTTAATTTTCATGAACATAATTCAATCTAAATTTAATTCACCACTAAAATGCTTGCGACTGTATCATGATTTTTTTTAAATTACAGGTAGGTATTTGCTTTTCGTAATAACTGGCTCGGCTTGGCGGATATAACATAAGTACCTACAAGATAAATTTGATAAAGTAATATGTACTTTTGTGTCCACGAAATAATACACAATGCGGACGCAATCCTGGATAGAATGTATGTATATCTACGTGGGTGAGATACGCGATCGTCTGAAACGAACTTAGGAACTTAACATGAAGATTAACGTCCATCCAAAAACCGCACACGCACAATCATTTATCAGACTTTTCAGAACGATATTTATCCTTTTCTGGTTGCTGTTGACTGCAATTAAATAAAACCAAAGTAAATTTAACTGTAAAAAATACATTTTATTGAATTTATAACATTTTTTGTTTTTTCCCACTAACAATAGCAAAAAAAAAACAGAAATTAAAAATGTACTGGACTGGAATAAAACCATAGTTCTGCATCCTTTCTCTGAAAATCCAGGGAAACTAGTTGCTAGCAGCATGCCTGTTTCTTCGAATCATATCCATCGAACAGTGCATTAACGAAAACCGTGGAAATTTATCGTCAGCAATTCGAACTTACGATTTTTTAAAATTCTAATCTGTTATGACCTCATCGTTTTGTTTAGATTTACATATATAAATGCGCGTCAATATACTCAAAGTAACATGTAGTTTTGAATGTCGAAAATGAGGTTTGAACTAGTGATCGCGATCGTAATTTGTTTTTTGTTTGTTCTTTGCAATTCGGCGCTCAATAAACCGAGGGCTAGGAATTTTACCAAAACTTACAATATAGTTTCGCCATGTCCAAATGGTGAGATGTCGCTTAGAGGAATGTGTCGAAAAGTATACAATTTTTATACAGAAAACTGACAGAATACAATGAGAGTTGTAAGTATTTTACATGCTAGCAAGATATATTTTTCAGATAATGGCATGCTTTTTATTTCAATTTTGGCAGTAATCGAACCTATCGGTATTTATAAAAAAAATATAGCGCAATTCGAGCTACACTATTTGCCTACCCTCTGTTTATCAAATTTCTTTAATATTACAAATGATTTTTGTTCGTATAAACTTATATCTACTATTTAAATTGTTGCAGATAGATCTACCGGAAGAAGGAAAGCCTAACTGCTTATCTTTACATCGCTTTGAGTTAACAACCAAAAATATATGGTTTATTTTTAAGACAACTTACTCTGTAATTTTTTATAGGTACTTGTTTGTATGCATAAAAGTAATTTTTTGTATTCGTACGTACATTCCATAATAAATATTACTATTAAATATAAATCTTATTTCTATTTCTGCTACGGACGAGTTTAGTAATAAAATCAATGAAAGAAAATTAATTCAGTGTCTATATGTATACGAGTACATATCCCTTGGATATTTCCAATAAACCATAACACATTAGATTGCTGATATAAATTTTCCATTTTGATTCAAGCGAAAAGTGTTTAACATACACGGAATTTATTACAAACAAAACATCTTATTACTGCAATATTTATTTATTTGTTTATTACATACACTTATCTTAATATTAATTTTCCACACTAATTTGCCTTATTATTAACGTAGTATAAATCAACAGCAGTGGAAATGCGAGACATTATATAAGGTTCATTAATAAATGCGATAAACCCCTTTGTTTTTTGCGATTACATTAAGAAAATAATAATTTTGAAGCAAGTCAATGTTATCGTACTGACCAGTATCTGACAGTGCAAGAATTAGTCATACTTTCAAATAAGTGTTTATTTAATTGGTAGAAAAAATTTTTAGACGTACTAACACTAATTCCTATTATTATAAAATTAAAAAAATATATTTTTTAAAAACTAAAAGGTTTTGTAGAAAAAATTGTAAAGCGCTAGGTACTAAAAGAAAGTGAGCTAGGACGAGGGCCAAGCCAATGTACATACGCCATAGTATTTTGACCGGCTGAATGTGAATCTAAAGTAATAATATAGACTTATGTTAGATAAATATAGTACCTACCTATATATAACTTAAAAAGTGTATTTGTCACAATCCATGATTCGATAATAGGTTACTCTATGCTAGTTGGTACAAAGCAATGCTTTGTGTCTGTAGGCATTGACAATTATGACACATTTTGTAGCTTTATAACTCACCCACATCAATATACTTTTTTAGAAATTCTAATTTCATACTTTTTTGTACTATTAGCATTATAATTAGTGATAGATGTATATCAGACTACGTACTAAAAATTCAGTGAAGATATAAAAATCTACCTATCTATTTGTTGCCTACCCTATTTTATTAAATTATGAAAGATTTTTCCAGAAAATAAAGAGGTATAATAGCAGTAAGGAGAAGAAAGAAATAAAAATTGTCAAAATAACTAATATAGGTACCTAATAATTATTATTATATATTAATTAATAAGTAGTTCAAATTTGTGCCGAAAAATCCACGGTTTTTAGTGAAATTCGTGTGTAAATTTGTGCACTAGTGGTAACAATTATAATAAAACGTGTTTCGTGAAGTGTTATTGAATATTTGAGTGAATATGTCCATTTTTCCAAAATTGGAAGCCAACAGGTTAACGGCGTTACGAGAACGAACGACAAAAACCGATCTCTGCACTTATCACGCCATCAAGTTGATGTAAGTACCAACTTCTCATATCCACATTTTATTGTTAACATACAAATATCAACTATTTACCTACAGCGTTGTTAAATATTTTCACACAACACTAGTATAATAACACTACTGCTAACAACTAGACAATATTTTATGAAACATGTAGTGAATATTCATATAAATAGTCAAAACTAGCATTCTATCGGGCGGTCTTTTTTTAAAAATGGAATATCTGGACAATAATGTTATTGCAACGAAATTGTACAATCATATTTTACGTTTCTTTTTTAATTTAATTTCATTTCGAATTAAAAGCATACCTACGTTTTAAAAGATTTGTATGAACGGAGTTGCCACGCCACTCAAACTAATAAGCTTTTTGTTGCACTCAGTTGACAACAGTAATGTTGCGTATTATTTAGAAGATTGTAAATGTAATACCTATAATAGTGACATGTTATATTACATAATAGTATTAAGGCCGATTGTAGATTGCTGAGTATTGGGTACCTACATGAAATATTTTTGTTTTTAAAAGTATTTTACTGCCGGTTAATAGAATTTATGTCGTTCATTCGCACATAGTAAATTTAAAATAATTGTAAAATATGTATTACATGCGTCAATATGGATTTAATTCTCCTTTTTTATTTATATTATTGACTAAAACTAGCATGTCATTCTTTCCGAATTAAATTTTCTAGGCAGCAAAAGAGTCATTAAAACAACGGATATTTCACAGTTAGCGAATATTTTAAAAAATAAATAAACTTTCAACATAATAGTTAATTAAATATTACAAACATTTCTTTAGGTTATTCATACTCCCAATCTTACATAATTTTTTTTACTA